TTGATTAATCGTTCTAAATCCTAATTCTGATTAGACTACTCTCTTAGATACAATATTTTTGTAATTCCCCATTGTGCCAATATGGCTACAGCCTTACCAGTGACTTGTCTCTAGTTATATTTTCATAAATACTTTTGTCACCAATCATATTGAAATGTTTAAATTTCTATGAAAATATTGTTATATGAGTCTCATATTTTTGTACATGTTGTTCCCTCATCATTCAAGATCTTTCTCTTTATCATTCGCATAGCTAATTACAAGTTGTCCAGAAAGATATATTTTAATCACATCTTTGAGGAAGGTTTTTTTAATCTCTATGTTGTTATTTGCATGTATTCTATACTTAACACCCCCAGTGCTGGTCATGTCCCTAAGAACTTTCATATCTCTTTCCTATTTTTCTCTGGCTCTGATCAATATTCCAGAAAACCACATACTTTCTCTCTTGTTCATCATCAAGAGATGTCTCTGGCATTGATTTTCTTTGTGGCCCTAGTTCCAGTTAGATAAATCCACGTTCAATAGTTTCAAATCCCATAACATCACCACCCACTGTGGTATTGATTCTCACCAGATGGTCCTGGATTCTGGGCTCTGGTGTCACCATGGCTTTCCCTTCTCCCTTCAACCCTATTTTGGTAGTAACTTCCTGCTGCTTTTAATTTTCGTTTAGCTTCTTAGTTCTTTAATCACTGGTATAACCAATTACCTATATTAAACTCCCTCTATTTGAAAGACCTAAAATGTTTTATGTTTTTCCGATTACTCACACAACCCTTGAGACATATGTCTCACATTCTGTACTACAATAGCTTATTCACGAGTTTGTCTTCCTCTGTAGGCTGTCAGCTCCACGATGGAGAGTACCACATCTTATTCATTTTCATATCACAAAACTTGTTCATTTTTTATCCACAATGCCTGTCAAAACTTTTGATTTTAAAAGTTGTATATGTATTGTTTAAGCTTTTATTCATGGACAACTTCTAAATTCTTTAATTACTTTTTTCGAAATATAGCACCAGTCAACTTTGTAAGTTCTATTCCCTATCTCTCCACCACCCCCCAAATCCCAATTTTACATAAAAGTTTATGGCTCAGCCATGCCATGCTCTTCCCTGTTATTTCAATTCACACTTTGTAGTCCAGGATCTCTGAACATTTGCTCCTCATAATTCTGGACTTTCCCTCTTCCTTTTTGTGCTGATGAAATCCTCCTCCCTTTACCCAGATCAAATGTCACATTTTCTCTAAAGATTCCCAAGAAAAGTTTGTTTCACCTTCTATCTTGAGGCATCATTTTACAATTATAGCAATTATCAAAATATTTGATGATCTGTCATGCATCTAAATCACTAAACAACATCCACAGAGAGGATACTCCCTTTGTGTATTCATGAACAAGTAATTTTCAAAATTATAAGTAAGCTTTGTCATTTTCACGTTCATGTTCACTCTCTCGCTAGATTTTAATTTTTTTTTTTTAAAAGGGATCATCTATTGTTTTCTGTTAGATTCCTCCAGAGTGTTTAACAGTATTTGTTATGCTTTTTACCTGTTTAATAAATATTTATTGAAATTTCTGACCACCTTTGAATAAATGCACTGGGCTAAATAGAGGTCATAAAATGCTAAGTGGTAAAAAAGCTATGCCTCCAAGAGCCTGATCATATACCTGGCAAGGTAATATTTTATAATATCATAATGGTACATTCTTATAAATGCAACATTTTCTGCAAATAATAGACAATTGAAAACTAGGAATTTATATGCAAAAGAGAGCACAAATGGCTATAGTGGCCTTTTTGAGTGAAAGAGTGACATGCAGCATCGATGTTGGTGAAAGACTACTTCAAGTTAGAAGAGAGAAGAGAGTTTTTCATTTACTCATCTATTTACTCATTCAACAACACTAAGCACCCATTGTACATCATATATATATATGTATATATATATATGATATATGTATATATATATATAGGCAGTCATTGCAATAGCAAATTAAGAAGTAAAAAAAGCTGAATTAAGGATGACCCTTAAATAATTGTTATACTGTAAGAATTCATTATGTTTAAATTATGATCAAGGTGGTGTTCATAAAGCATGTCTAAATACAACTCATGTTTATCAACAAGAAAGACAATTTTGTTTCTTTCCTTTGGTAAACTTATTTTGCCAAAAGTTTCCGTTTTTTTAGTATTTATGCTACTGTTCTCATTATACCATGAATTTTGCCAGTAATGTTCATCCTAGTATTAAGAGACAAATTTCAGCAGTTCTGGCCATTTTAAAAGCACTAACCCACTCTAGGGCATGTTTTGTGCTTTGTTACTGTTCCTCGTGGAGCTGTGGAAAGCACTCTGACTTCAGCCTTAGTGAGATTGGACCCCTTATATTGTAATATGCACCCTGAAGGTCGTTATATTGTAGTTAAGCATTGACCTTCTTTAGCATATAGCATAGGCTAGCATATGAAAATGAGTGAACCAAGGAAGTTAAACTTTGTGTTATAAGTGGTGTGCATTTGACTTAAAACCTATACATTAAGGCATAATCCAATTCATATTTCTTCCTTCTTAACCTAATTACCCAACATTCCACAGCCAGGTAATATTTTCAACTTTATTGTGATTAAAAATTAAGCAATTTCAAAATGATCGTATGATCTGAAGGAAACAAGAAAATTTTGCTATCAGAATCAGGTATGGCTAAGTTATCTCAAATTTGGATCTTTTAACACAACTTCTAGAAAGTTAAGTAACATCAGGGGAAGTATATTGAGCCAAAAGGAAAGAAATGGTAGCTCAACGTTTGGAGAGATTCCTGGGAGTAGATATACACAAGGAAATTTCAAAAGAGCTTCAATAAATAAAGCAGACTGATATGCTATTATGATGTTTCTCAGTTAGCTTGAAAGTTTTCTCTAGTCAAAGAAGTTCCTTCATATTTAAAATTTATCTACAATCTCTTTTTCTTCCTTCTTTCCTTCCTTTCTTCCTTCCTTCTATTTTTCACTTATTGAAAGAGAATTTATTGAACTATTAAATACACAAATTCAAGTAAAATAAATTACTTTCATTGATAAGCCTACAGTCTAGAGGAGGAGATATGCATAATAGAATAAGTATAATAATAGAAATATGCACAGGATGCAATGAAACTCGCTGCCCAACATGGGGCTGAAAATGCCAGACACCTGCTCTCCAGCCATCTGTGGTTTTATGGCATAGGCGTATCAACCACCCCTGGTCAATAATACTGGAGGAAATGACTACTGATGGACTGTTGAAAATATCCCAATGGAATACATCTAAGAACTAAGGCAAAACACTGAGAATAGTTGGAAGATGGAAAGGGCCGGGTCACTGATTACAGTCGTTGAGTGCCTGAACCAAGCTGGATACACTTGCCCCTGGGTTCTAATTTTCTGATAAAATGCATTTTGACCATTTTCAAGTCAGTTTTAGTTGAGTGTTTGATTATTACAACTAAAAAAAATCTGAACTGGTACATTTTGCTTGTCTTCATGAAGTTCCAAATACCTGTCATTTATGGCATCTTTCCTCTTAAAATGCAATTGTTTAAAAATGGAGCCTTAAAATATAAAATACAATGTGAAAATGTGAGTTTTCCTTGTCTACAGTACAATAAATTTTTAAATATTATACATTGGAAACCCTTCTGTTCTATTTACACACTAAATTACCCTTTTACTATACTCAGTGGAAATCATGTACTTTCATGTTATAGCTATTAATTTGAAATTTAATTTTCATTAATAGGCCTGAAGTAGATAAAGCACAAAATTAAGTTCCTGCTTTCATTTCAGATTCTATAGCTCATTAAATATTGAAGTAAATGCTATTTTATTTACTGAATTAGATGGAAATGATTCTTGTTCTTTGGGGACAAAACACATGGAGTTCTGGTCCTAATTTTTATTACTAATTATCCACTTATTTATAACGATAAATTTCAAGAAGTCTGTACTATGAGTCTAAGTCCTAGTTAATTCCCTTCTAAATATTTTTAGATGTTCTATTTCTTTTAATTGGTGTGGTTGACAACTTATTAACCTGATTTATCTGAGTTTTAATCACAGGCTTCATTTTACGTGTGGCTCTGGGCAGGCTTCTAGATGCCTGCATTTTCATTTGTAAGTTCAAGCAACAAAAGCACCTACAGAGAACCAGGTGCTTAATTTCCTAGATCCTTGGCCTACAGAATTATAGAAGATATAGTCCCTTCCGTCACATAATTTACCGTGTTAGATATAGAACCAACATGTGATGAACTAAAATACAATGTGATGTCAACCTAATCAAGCACATGAGAGAAAAAAATTTATTCCTTCTTGAGCAGTTGAAGGGTTAAAAGGTAGTATGTATTTGAGCTGATTCTTAGAGAGTAAATCAGATTTCACTGGGCATGACAGTTTTTTAGTAATATATTTTAAAACATATAACATGTTTTTGTAACATAACAGTTACAGCTAGGGAAATAGTACGTGTAGACACATATATACGTGACAGAACTGAGCATTTTAGGAAAAAATAAGATTTTATTATGATAGAGTATAGCATACTTGAGAAACTATTGGAGAAATAGGTTCAAGAAGCATAATGAAGGACTTTGCATGCCCTGTTAAAGAGTTTGATCTTTATTCTGGAAGAAATGGAGACCACATGGAAGAATGATTTTTAGAATTAGGGAGAGGGTGTTGGTAATGATTGTGTCTCTCCTTTTAGAAAGCAAGTTAGGCCAAATGTCTAAATGTGATTCATTGATATATTCCAGGCAGGAGAAAATAAGAAATTTAATTGCAGCAGGATTGTTTCATTGGATGAAGAAAGAAAGGAAACTCAGGACTAAGACTGTAATAGTGAAATTTTTTAAAAACTCCTATTCCAAACCAATCAGGGAAGTAGAATAGGCAAGTTTCATTAAATAAAGCTATGAATTGTACTAATTAGGCAAAGTCCAAGCTGCTATAACAGACAGACTCCAAAATACAGAAGGTTAAATAAGTTTATTTCTCAGACACGTTTTATTTGGGCTGGCCTAGGTTAGCAGAGTGGCTCTGATCCATGGAGTCTCTTAAGGACACAGGTTTCTGCCATTTTGTTGTTCTACTATTCCCTACGGGTTAGTTGTCATCATCTGCATGTTTGATGTTGAGTTGCTCCCATGTCTGCATTCTAGCCTGCAGGAAGGGAAAAGAAACAATGTGCAAAGCAAACAAACTTTATGCAATTGAGGCAGATATCTCTGCATCTGTCAATGATATTTACATATCACTTCTATTCAAATTCCAAGGGTGAGAACTTGGTCACCTGGGTAATGCTTAGTTGCAAAAAGGTTGAGAAATACAATTTCTAACTGGGTGGCCAGATTATAGCTATATTACTATTGAAGGATGAAATTTTAGGATTTTAGGGGCAACTATGTCTGTCACATATGAGTCAAGCATATATTCTAGGTTTATGATCGGGGAAGCTGAGTGGATGGCAATGTCATCTCTCAAGATTGAAATATTTTAGGGACAACAGATACTGTAATTGTGTGTCAGTGTGAAAATTAAAGATGAAAAGTAATATGTTTAACTCACTGAATTAGAAAAATCTATGAGGGTTCCAAGTTAAAATATCAAGAATAAATTTCTTTTCTCTTCTCTCTCTCTCTCCGTGTTTGTGTGTGTGTGTATATATATATTTATACATATATATAAATATACATATGTTTATACACACATATAAATATAAATAATTTGAATTACCAGTGTAGTTTGGAGTGTTAAAGCCATGGGAATGGATGGGTATGAGTTTATTGCAGGAGAGTGTGGTAGGGTTTGAAGAGAAAAGGATTAAGTTCAAGTTTTTGGTGACTAAGAAGCAGTGTCCAGAACTGATATGACTACATGAGGAAGGAAAATGATTGCTGTAGTGAAATGGCATGAGCTTCATGGAACAAGGGGTTTACATACAAGCTGGATGATTACTGGTCTTGGTGCAGCACTAGGCAATTGAGGAGAATGTTAACTGTGTCTTCCAGTTCTCAGATTAAACAGTATTGGATATCGCTGCATCTCTAATTAGGAAGGGTACAGGAAAGAGTATCCTCAAGTGTGACCTATTCTTTTTAGTTAAAGCAGCAAATAGACAAAGTGTTCTTGAAAGAATTGCTGGGGTGTGTGTCTTTTAGAGGGTAATATGAAAAGGAAAACGAAAGCTGCAAGCAGACAGTTGGGCCAAGAAGATGCTCCTAAGACTATGTGAAAAGAAATATAGGAGATAAAAGATAACTAGAAGGAATTATGGGGCCGGCTCCGTGGCCTCGTGGTTAAGTTTGGAGTGCTCCCCTTTGGCAGCCAGAGTTTGGTTTCTGGGCATGGACCTGTATCACTCATTGGTGGCCATGCTCTGGTGGCAACCCACATACAAAACAGAGGAAACAGATGTTAGCTCAGGGCAAATCTTCCTCAAGAAGATAATAATAATAATAATAATTAATAATAATAATAAAGATAACTAGAAGGAATTATATTTTTTTGTGGAAAAACCTGGATGGCGAAGGCATGCTATAACAGGCATAATATCATTCCTTAGCAGATGAAGATATAGTTTCAAACACTTTATGTCATCTGCTTCAAGTCACAAAGCTAGTTAATAGCAATTTTAAGACTAGAACCCAAGTCTTCTAACTTCATTTCTTGAGATTTTTATATGTTTACATCTTTGAGCAAAAACTTCTGTTCCCATGTGTAGGCGATAGCTAATTGATCCTCATCAAAACCAACTCAGGGGACCCAGACACAACAGTGCCTGATAGCTCAGGGGGGCTTGAAGACCTTTGATTACAGTTTTCTCACTTCTGAGCTGCCTATCACTGCAGATGTGACATGTGACCACAGGACCACATCCCTGAAGGATGTGCAGGATCTCTGATCCTTGGTTAGGCTCAAGCCGTAATGTGCTCTCTTCCTTTCTCCTTCTGTTTGAGTACCTTTTAGTTAATTTTTTCTTCTTTTTTTCTCAATAAGCAGACAGATTTTGCTGAGTGAACACTAGAAGGGAATCTAGGTAGAGTGGGAAAGCTGGAGAAGAGGTTGTTAAAGGAAGGAAAATATTTGCAAAGAGAGAAGGAAAGTGACTATGAGTTAGATATTTTTAAGAAAATATGCCTTGGGTTCTTGCATTAAATATACATATATAGTAGATAATCTTATATGTGGGATTTTAAAAATAATATATTTTGATGGATTAAATAGAATTCAATTTCCATAGGTGTATTTATCTTTTCACTGGATATTTATATGTATACTAGAAATGGCCCTACCTTAGAGACATTTCCAGGAAAATATGAATTGTCACCAGTGCAGTTTTCAATTCCTTGAAGATGACCTTCTTGTCTAAGATACCATCCTTGATTTTTCCCCTTCTCAACATATGGGACATTTTCTAACTCTTCCCACTGCCTTCACCTCTCACGACATCATTTTGTTTTCCTGGTTTATAGCTAAATTGACCAACTCCTGTTGATCATCCTCTACTCCACCTAGCCTATCTTTATCTATCTTTTCAGCGGTGGGACTCAGTCATTTGATAGATTTACTTGTTTGTATTTACAAGTTCTAGTATCTCTTTTTAGAGCAACATAAATATTTTAGAATTAAGAAAAAATTGTTATAAACAAAGTGATCTGACTTCAAACACACTGTCATCTATCTATTTTGATCTCTATTTGCTCCAGTCCCACTGATGTTGTGATGATAATTCACTGTAACTGAGAGAAGTTAACTATAGGCAAAGAAGGGCAAATATCTGACCAGCATTGTAGTACTTTCTACTCTGGAACTTAAGCAGTCGTAGCAAATTTATTATTGTCCTACTTTCCCTGGGGTCCTAAGGATAGCCTAAGAATGCGTTTTAGTGCAGCTCCCGGGGAAGAATTGATTGGAATTGTCGATGAGATGAGACCTCTTTGATACTCCGCTTCTGGATCTAAGTTCTGCTTTTAAATAACAGGTACCACCAAACTCTTTCATGGCTTATATATTTCAAACCAGCTAATTTTCTCTGTATTGATATATAACCTCCCAAACTATCTCTATCCTTCTATTCAAATGTCCTAAAATTTTTTGTGAGTTATTTCCATATTTACTCAAAAATTATAAATCCACTGACTTGTGGTTTGGTAGGTTTTTGTAAGTATTCAATCTGCGACTGAGAGTTTATTTGGTGTTTTTTTCTAATTTTTTACTATATAAGCTAACATTTTTCTTATAACTGTGTATATATACCTTTCATGCTTCGACGTGTTCTAATTCCTCCAGCAGTGTTAGTGTGGAATTCAGCCTGTAGAAAGGTAGTTCAGGATCGTCAGCCGTGCACACAAGCTTGAAATCAAAAATGGCTTTTTAATTACAACTAGTTATTTCAAAGCTTCCTTCAATTTTTGGGGGGGGGAATATTTTTTTTTTCTGTTGAGGCAGAGATTTCAAATCAATCTTACTTCCATTATTGAATTAATGAGAGAGTTGCCATATATTTTTATTACACTCATTTACAGAAGCAAGAATGAGCGAGAAACTGGACGTAAAGTCTAGATTAGAGAAAAGCTGATTACTGGTAAATACAGGGACAAGATAATAAACTCTTCTTAGTGCCAATATTTCTGCACTGATAATGACAGACCACATATAGAGCCATAATAAATCATATATAAATTAGAAAGCTGCATTTTCTACTCAACCAATAGAAAAGCACTTAAAAAATAATTGTACACACATATACCCTCATGAGTTCACCTAATGAAGTGGCCAGTGATTTGATAAAATTGGTTCCCCAGTTATTGCATTATAAATTTAGGTAAAATAAAGCACGTTTATCATTTTTCTAGAACCAGTGAGATGATACAACCTCTTTTAGATTAGAGGTTAAATCGGGCTTCAGATTTGGGGTTAAATAGTGCAAATCTGAAAGACAACAATACTTAGAATGTTTTCACACATAAATGTTGTGAGTAATGTAAGGCATAAGTCATGGTTAAGACAAAGGGTTTAAAAGTGTATGTCTTATTACTGCACACCGTTTAGGATGGCTATCACTAAAAATATGGACAATAACAATTGTCTGGGAGGATGTGGAGAAATTGGAACCCTTTCTGCATTGCTGGTTGGAATGTAGAATGGTACAGCTGCCAAAAGAAACAGGTTGTTTGCTCCTCAAAAGTAAAAGAATCACCGTATAATCCAGTAATTCTACTTCTCTGTATATGCCCCAAATAATCGAAAGCAGAGACTCAAATACATCCTTGTACACAAGTATTTATAGAAGCATTATTCACATTAGTCAAAAGGTAGAAATAACCCAAATGTCCATCAACAAATCAATGAATAACAAAATGTGGTGTATACATACAAGAGTACAGATCTTCCTCGACTTCCGATGGGGTTATGTCCCCATAAACCCATCATAATTTGAAAATATCGTAAGTCGAAAATGCATTTAATACAGCTAACATACCGAACATCACAGCTTAGTCTAGCCTATGTTAAATATGCTCAGAATGCTTACGTTAGCCTACAGTTGGGCAAAATCATCTACACAAAGCCCATTTTATAATAAAGTGTTGAATATCTCATGTAATTTATTGAACACTGTACTGAAAGTGATAAACAGAGGGTTGTGTGGATACAGCATGATTGTAAGTGCACCGTTTGTTTACCCTCATGATCGTGGGGCTGAGTGGGAGCTGTTGCTCGCTGTTGATGCCCAGCATCACGAGAGAACATTTTACAGCATGTCGACAGCCTGGAAAAAGATCATAATTCAAAATTTGAAGTATGATTTCTACTGAATATTTATTGCTTTCGCACCATTGTAAAGGCAAAAATATCTTAAGTTGAACCATCGTAAGTCGGAGACTTCTGTATATTATTCATGCTTAACAAGGAATGATATTTTGACACGTGCTACAACATAGATGAACCTTGAAAACATTATGCAAGTGAAATAAGCCAATCATGAAAGGACAAATATTATATGATTCTACTTATATTAGATACCTAGAATAGGCAAATTCATAGAGACAAAGAGTGTAATAGAGGTTTCCGGGGGTTGGGGAAGTAGAAATGTGGGGTTATTGTTTAAAGGGTACAGAATTTCTATTTGGGATGATGAAAAAGTTCTGAAAATGGACAGTGGTGATGGTTGTATAACATTGTGAATGTACATAGCATTGATTAGTCTTGTGTATATTTTGCCATAATAAAAATAAGTGCATACATCTCTTAAAAAGGGATATTTACTATAAGATGCAAATAAAATGGAGAATATAGTAATTATCTGCCATTATAAATCAGTTAAAAAAATCTGAATGGTACCTATCATATGTTACTGAAAATTCTCTGTATTTAATGATAAAAACACATTATATACATTTTATTTATTTAGATCCTTGCACTAAAAATTAGGATTTAAATGCATAACCGTTTCCTCAGAATTGTCTGACAATGAATTATAAAATTTACTTATGGTATTTTTCAGGAAATCTTTATTGATTTTGATGAGATAAAAACATTTTCAAGATATTTTAATATCTTTCTATACTTATGTTCAGATTTCTCTCACAGCCTGTAGTACTTTCTTCTTAGTATTAATTATTTTAATTTAATAAAATATGATACATGTTTATGATTTTCATCACCCCCTCCATTCAGGATCACATCACCAACTGGTCATTGAGGGCCTGGAAGAATACATCATCACAATTCTATTGTCTGAATGGTTCTGATGATTTCTGTGCCAGATAAACCATTTTCTGTTTTTGAGTGGAGTCTCCATAAAGGGTTACAACTTCAGAGAAGGATAAACACATGATAAAGTTCTCTATCTAGAAGGCTTTTGAAGGGAAGCCCTGAAGCGTCTGTTACCAGGATCTATTGGAATAATAAGTGATGCACAAAACCAGGACAGTAAAACTATTGGCCAAGAAATGTTATAAAACAGAAAACATTAGCAGCAGGGACACTCAGCTGGAACTCTGAAACAGGAGGAATGACAGAGCCGTCAGCAATGGTCGTGAATTGTCAGTGCAAATTTAGTATCAGTGGTAGTGATGTGAGGGTAGATCAAGAAATGACTTAACTCTCTTCTGAAGACCAGGGCAGTGACACATCCTCTTGTGGCCTATTAAGTTCACTGTGTGGGGGTGGAGCCAGGCCCAGCGCTACAGGAAGCCATATGGCTACAAATAGAAGACTCATAAATGTAGGTCTGGGAATACTATTCTGTATTCTGTAAATAACTATAGAAAGGAATTTATTCCGTGGAAATAATTTGAGACAAAGAAAAGCAAATCTTCATTTAAAATTATGTTCATGTCAGTATCATTAATAAAAGGGAAAAAAGTGGGAAACAGTAAAGTATTTTAGCGAATTTTGAAACCTCAAAAAATTGGGATATTATTTATAAAATAAAAGTATTATGGAAAGCATACAGAAACATAAAAAATGTGTGACATAATATTAAGTGAATAAAAGTGTATGAAAACGCCATTTTTGAGGCTTTTTTTGTCGTTTAACACATACACTGGCATGTTGCTAAAGACTAGATGTAATTATATGAAACTAAAAATTAGAAAGCTGTGTTAGAGTGGTGGGTTATCTTTACAAATGTCTCATGTCACTATGAATATATGGTGTGTGTATATATGTATAGAAATATATATATATAAAATCATGAAAATTATTTTGTAACAGAGTTCTCACTCACAAGTACAATGGATACCTTTTCGTATGATTTAGAATTAAGATCCCTCATTTTTAAGGTGTCCATACCTATAATAAACAACCAACCAAATTAATTGCAATGAAAAGGAATTCCCTAAGAATAAATGGATAGTTCTCAGCAGTCATTGCTGAAATGGAAAAAATGGAAGAAACTATGTTATGGCCTTGGATCAAACAATAGGAGAATAGATTCCCCTGTTTTATAGCCAGTCCAATTTAACATATTCTAGGCAATTTTTCCTCACCAAGTATGTATGAGAGCCTCAGAGGAACAAAGACATCTCCAGTTTTCAGTGATCAGTCTTGCAAAGAGGTTCTCAAATAAAAAAGAAAGTGTGCAGCTAAATTGCTAACATCACCAGAAAATGTCACTTTTAATTGGGTGGGAATTATGCAGTCAGGTGTGACAAGGAGGAAGGGGTTATCATGAGCTAATAATTTGACAGAAATGCAGCCTCATGCTTCTTATCCCTCCAGAGTGTTATCTCATGATTACCAAACACTCTGCTTAGATATGCCTTATTAGTTTCTCTTTTGGATACCTTCATTCTTAGGAAAACCATACTTCTGTGTGCTAGAATATGATGATGTTAGCAGTTTAAAATATGAGCGGCTGCTTCAGCTGAACCAGTAGTTCACAAAAATTAATCTACCCTTTACATTAATCTGTGCACTAATCAGAATGTTTCTTTAATCCGAGGAATTTTATAATGCAGTCTAAATCACTCTGGCCCAGGTGCCTGGTGCTGCTTAAAGAAAAGTAACGAGAAAATTTAATCTGAAGATTATTAAGTATTTTAGGCTGGTGCTGACTGGTATCACGCAGCAACTCTATAACATACTAAGCAAATCCAACAAATGGCAACTCATCCTTTCTGTCACCGCAGAGCAAATAATTAGGAGAGAGTCCCATGCTGATGGCAATAAGGAAGACAATGATAAGATGCGAGAATTTTAAGAAGACAAAGGTAGTTTGAGATAATAGCTTGTGGCCACTGCCATTATTAGGATGATTACTAGCTGCAAAGCATTCACGAAAGCAGTTCATAAGATGACTTGGAGGTTTTACAGTTACAGAAACGGAAAAAAATACCGCATAGGTCAGAAACAAATGAATTCAGTTAAATAATCTACCATCAAGGAATTGTTATTGGTCACATTTATAGAGACAAGAATAAAAAGCTTAAAATTTCACCAGATAGCTGATCAATTACAGCCTACACACCTTATTTCCATGAGATTATATAAGATAGCTGTTTGTGCCAAATCAGTTTTCTGGGACCAGTAAAAATGTTTCTTTTGTAAGGTGAGTGGAAGAAAAGAGTAGGGCCTGAAAGAAAGAAATTACACTGGATACCCAGAACCAAACCTCCAACATTATTCTATATTGTCAACATTAAAAGCAAAATGAAAGAGTTTATCTTTGAAAATAAAAATCGTGTCTTCTCTGCTTCCAGCTATGAAAGTGTTAACTGGTTAACAAATTTGCCCTCCCAGTTGTAAATTCTATAAAATTAGGAGAACGTATGCTGGGCAATGAAGTCGAGGCATTGAACAACAGGCAGTGCAGACTGTAATTCTGGGAAAATGGGAAACACAAGAAGTGAGTTCCATGATCACCCTGACAATATCCACAAATTTCTGTCTTGGAGTGCTTTTCCAATAAGGTATGTGGAAGTGGATCCTAAGCAGAGCGCTGGTCTCAGTGTGCTGCAAGAGCAAGGAGAAAAATTCTGAGCTGCTGAAGTAGCCAGAATTCATGGCAGAGGATAACCGAAGAGAGGGGGCTGCACAGAAAGTGGACCATAGAAGTTTGTGTGGGCGTTCACCATGAGTTCTTGGCTAATGGACAAGAGACATATGCTCAGAGTGACATGTTGAGGGCCTGGCAGAGATCACCTGTTGCAGAAAATGTGTAATTTGGGCAGGCACAGAAGTGGTTACAATACAACCAGAATGGAGAGATCGAACTGAGCCCCTCAGACATTCAGCTGAGACCCTAGAGGAACCTTGCCTTAGGGGTAAGGAAAAAAAAAATTACAGTAAGCTCACATCCTAGTACTGAATTCAAACCCTAAGCAGACTTGAACTAGATGAGAATAATACCAAGCCTGGCCACACCAAAAGACATCACCTCTAATTTAACTGCCTGCCAGAACAAAGCTCCATATCTTAAGGAAGAGGACATAATTCATCTACGAGGTGCAACATGCAATAGAAAACTACTAGATATGCTCAAAATACTATCTATACTTAATACACCTTAACATGACTTATGCTTAAGAGGAAGAGAACTTAGTAAAAATGACATTATTTCTGAGATTTTATAATTAGCAGAAACAGATTTTAAAGCAGATATTATAAATATGTTCAAAAACTTAAAGGAAAATACGTCAAAAATGGATGAACACATAGGGAATTTCAAGTAAATAAATTCCACCTCTTATGGGAGAAATGAAAACTTTGCAAAGACAGTAATTTGCAAATACTTTAATCCAACATAAACTAAACATAGTATGTCATTTTTTTCCTTGTCTGCTTTCGTTCCTTTTTCCTTAACTTAGATTTTCAGTAGTTTGACAATGAGTTACCAGGTGGAGTTTTCTTTGTATTTATTCTGTCATTCTTAATTCTTGACCCTGTGCTTGTAATCTGATTTTGATTTGTTTTTCGCCCTCTTGATTTTTTTCCTGTCTCTGAACACTCTTAGGATATTCTCTTTTCCTCCATTATTCTAAACTTTCATGATAATATGCCCTGGTTTGAGTCTTTTTTAGCTGTAGTCTCAGCATTTGTTGGACCTTTTCAATATATAAAGGCATGAGCTGTGTTCTGAAAAAATATATTGAATTATTTATCCCTCCTCCGTTTTTTCTTTCCTCATTCTTTAATTCCTGTTATTCAGATTTTCTAACACCTGGGTGTATTCTATACTTTCAAATATTTTTTCTTTCCTAATATATATATATATATATAATATACCTAATAAATATAATATATATATACCTAATATATATATATATATATATATAGGGTGTTTTTAATCTACTTTCTGAGAGAACTCCTCATCTTCAACTTCAGCTCCCAACGTTCTACTGATGTTTAAATTTATAATAACATATGTTAAATTCAAGGCATTGTTTTTTCTTCTCTGAATAGTTTTTTTTAGATGTCACTTTTTGTTTTGTGGATGTGACTTATTGATGGTCTTGACTGTGAGTTAGAATGGCTGTACCATACGTTGCAGGATCCTCCTTATCTTTAATATTGTCTCTGGGCCTGATTTTATTAACCAGATAAGATTCTTCCAACGTCTTCCCTAGGGGATGAGGTGGCCAGCCTGCTGAAACCAGGTAGTGAAATGGAGGCAGTAAAAGCTGTACCATTTTCTGCTTTCAGAAAATTACCACTGCTTTCACCTATTTCTGGTGTTCTCCAGGCCAGATCCCTGCGGATCCTCCTTCTCAGGGTTGTAATCTCTAGGTTTTTTGTTCCAGTGGTAGAAGACAGTTGCCTAGCTGCATGGAAAGACAGAGTACAATTTGTGGTTTTGCCTCTTGCATAGACTGTCAGACAGTGCTCCTAAATGCTTCAAGGGCATACCAAATTTTAGAATTACCTGTCATTGCCAATTCCTGAACTATTATTCCACTCTCAGGTCTAAACTGGGCTGTTTTTCAGCTTCTTTCACTGTGAGCTTGGGTTCAATTTCATAAATCTGTAGCATTTCAGCAGAAGGCAAACCACAGATTGCTAGTTATGCTCCTTTATTTTTCTATGTATTGTCTATGGCAGCTTTTATACAACAATGACAGAGTTAAGTAGTTATGACAGATATTGTATGGCCCACTAACCAAACATATTTACTATCTGATTCTCCAGAAAGTATTTGCCAACCCCTGGTCTAGAGTGTTGTTTATTACTTATGCCTCTTTCTCCTAGCTTTCACAATTTCGCTTCTATTGTTTCCTCTCCCCTGCTTGTTTTTTCCTGAGGACATTTTGATCTATCCAGCAGAGAGAAGATCTGTTTCAAGGTAAAGCCACAGGAGATCCCCACACATTTTGTATCTTTACTGTTTCTATAACTGAATATTAAATACATATTAATTTCTTTGGCATTCAGGTTTCCCATGCTACCCTAGATTTTGCCAGTGATAAAACAGCATGAACCATTATAAGAAGATGCTGATATTAATTTTTTTTTAATTTTTATTTTTTCGGATGTACATCATATTTCGAATTCTGTATACATTACATCATGTTCACCACCCGAACACTAATTATAGTGCATCCCTTCACATGTGAGCCTAATCACACCTTTTGCCCTCCCCCCTCCCCCCTTCCCGAATGGTAACCACCAGTCCCATCTCCAATGCTATGTGTGTTTTTTTTTTTTTTTTGTCGTTTTTATGTTCTACTTATGAGTGAGATCATATGGTATTTGACTTTCTCCCTCTGACTTATTTCACCCAGCATAATACCCTCAAGGTCCATCTATGTTGTCACAAATGGCCGGACTTCGTCATTTCTTATGGCTGAGTAGTAGTCCATCGTGTGTAAATAATTTCTTTTTACATACTTTCATCCAGAAAACATATATGGAGCATCAAATATGCAGGGTGTCATTTTGTTCAATGCTTCAAACATTAAGAATAGCAATAATAATAATAATAACTATAAAAGAGACATGTTCACTGTCCTTACAAAATGTAGCCTAGTAAGGGATATGGAAATAAAAAACTATTTCAAATCAATATAACATGAGTTATTAAACAGTAATAACTGCTGACATAGGGAGTAGATTTGCTCATGATAATCATAGAAAGTTTCATTTTGAGGGCTAAGTAGAATTTTGACACTCAGAGCAGAAAGGGTACTCCTGCCAGAAGACAAATATGTATACAAAGAATCAAGTTCATCTTAAAAGAATTGAAATATAAATTTCCACCATTGTTCAGCTGTGCGACCTCTGGTAAATTATCTAACATTTTTATGCTTTAGTTTTCTCATGTGTAATATTAATACTTTCCTCAGAGTTTTACTCTAAGGATTATATGAAAATAATGCACTTGATAGATTTAACAGAAATCCTAGCACATAATATATGCTTAGTAAAAGGTAATCATTCATATTATTGTGATGATTACAAATTATCCGTTTTCTTTGTAAAGAAGGGGTAATATTTTAACTAAAAGGATAAATCTCTGATAGTATTTCAAGCATAATGGTAGCTGTCAATAGAGGTATTTCGAAAACGAATAAGCTTTCAATCATCCTTCAAATTACAGGGTATAGACAGCTAGTTACTTTCTTCCCAAGAGCTATGAATAGGCCTGATAAGGGATAATTCACAATTAGATATTCCAGGGTTAGAATAAGGATCACCTGAATTCATGTTCATCCAAATTATTTTCACAACTTTTCTTTACAATTAATAATACAACTACTTACAATTTATATCTATTTCTCCGAGACAGATCTTATCTAGCAGGTTGAGTAGCATTACTTGAAGGAAATATATCAATATATTTTCCCTAGCTGCTACCACAACTTAGATTTCCTTTCATTTTGTTTGCTTTTTAAGAGGTAGAACTTCATAATATCTTATAGAATTGGTTGTTCAAAAAAAGCAACATTACAACATTTATTGATCTACAAGTAGATCTAGATTAAAAACACAATGTGTGACATAATTTGGTACACTGTTGATTTAAATCTTTTTTTGTACTCTATCTCATTACTTTTTATAAAAATAGACATTGTAACCAGAGATCTGGCATACTTCTCAAGTTTAGATTAGTGTGATGTTTAGAACAATAGTATCCCAAGTTAAAGTAAATGAGTGGGTCTATTTGGGTCTCTTTAATTATCTACTGGAAGCATGCACAAGCGTTTTTTATGGACTCACAGAAGCATTGAGCAGGCTTTTGTGATTGGAGTATTTCTATTCTTGCACGTTAGGTGTCCATTTTTTATATAAGTTCAAATTTTGCTCCGTAGTATAACCCTTGACCTAAACATTTGTAGAAATTTTTTAGAAGTCCCATCTGTAAGGTATTAAAATTGCACATTTTGATAATTTCCTTTGCAGAATTCTTGTGACAAATGCTTTTCTAAGCTCCTTAATCTCTCTGAACTTGGCACAGCATTTTACCCATATTTAAGATGAACTCACTTTCCATTTTGTATAAGAGAAGCTTTAAGCCAATGGAAATGCCCCAAACTCAGCATATATTTAAAGAGACCTAGTGTCAGTCATTGGAATAAAAATATTGAAGGAAAATGTTCTTTTGGCCTCAGTAAATGTCATGTGGGAGCAGACTCTGGGGCAAAGCATGCAGAAGCTATAGAAACACCAGCCTTGGAGGATAAAATAGGACCAGAAATGCATAGGATTGGGGTTAGGAAAACAGACAGTTTCAGAGACTGGTCCTTATGAGAACAGCTTCGAAGTCTAAAGCAAGGGGCTGATGAGCTTGGCGAGCTCATACTCAGCCATGTCCTCAAAGGAAAGAGGTCATGTCCATTCAGTACTTACAACACAGCCTCAAGGAAGCCCCTTGGATGACTCTACTGCAACAAAAAGTTTTCCAGGAATTGCCAAGCCAGCAGGGTAGTGTGTGTGTGTGTGCGTTTGTTTTGAGGGTATTCTTGACCTGGATCTCATCCAATTATCGATCCTATAATAATACCGGAAAGCAGTTGACTTCCAAATAATTAACTGTTTCAGCCTGGGGCAGTTCTTCTTGATGGCTCTCAGGGATTTGTCTTCCATTCATATCCATGGCATCAGAGACCCCACAGAATTGTAGCTACCAGTCCCTCACTCTAAAATGGATGCTACCCACATCCCTCTACTGCTATGCTCTCACTCTAGCAGTCAGTCCTGGTGTAGAATGGAGGACTGTGTGAGTTACCTTTTTTATGCTATGAACTATATCAGCCAGAATCTCTCCCTATATCATGCCAAATCAGAGTTGGCCACAAGAGAAATGTATCCAAGGTTTGGGAAACAGAAGTGAATTAGCCACCATTGCTTCTGAAGGTAATTTTGCAGCCGGATACAGGAAAAAAGGTGCAGAGGTAATAGGTGGGTTTCAAATTGTTCTCACTCTCATCTGTTCTTTATGCAGTTTTTTCCCCAATGCTGGCTCTGCTAGCAAACAGCATTGTCAGCCTTACCGCTGCATCCTTGACAGTGGATCCACAGAGACTGGTGCTGCACTGAGAGAATGGATTCCTATAGATCTCTGTACAAGCTGCCCCTTCTAGTTCCACTTCTGGCTCTTAAGAGCTTGGCTTCTCAGCTTGACTAATTAATTAGTCTTTCCCTTGTCCTCCAGCCCCACCCCCAATACTTTTAGACACTCACGTCCCCATCTCCTCCCAAAATTGGTCTAATTCCTATACTAATTCTGTATCCTCCTGCATTGATATTGACTCTGCTCTTGGGACTGAACCCTCACTGAAACAGGTGGGAACATTTGCTCTCTCTGCTAAATGCTGTGACTTTACCCAAGTTCAAGGGAAACATGGATTCTTCTATATCATTCTTTGCTTCCTTACCTCCACATTTGGAAACAAAAATCACCCTTAGACTGCCAACTCCTGGATTTCTGGATGGATCAGATATAGGTGATGGTCCAGACCATTCTTCCCAGCCCACTTCAAATATCCAGAGGATGTCCCCTCCTCACCCTATCATTCTCATGGTTATTGGGAGTGAGGGATGCAATGAACAGAAATACTCTGGTCCACATTCTCATTTCATCTTATCTCTGTAGAGGTTCATAACAGCTCTTCTTTTCTTCCTTCTGTATTCTCATTCCTTTTGTATAACATCTGTTATGGTGTCTTTTGAATTCCAAGACGAGATTTACCATTTTTGTCCCAACTGCTCTTATGAGGGTGGCCACTGGGAAAGTAAAATTAAAATTAACTCCTGATGTGAAGTCTTCATGCATTTAATATTTAGTCTGCCACCACTAGCTCGTTACCTGTTCTAAATCAGGGGAGGAGTATTGCTGCGTATAGGCTCTGGCCTCTGATTTCACTCACTTAGGGACTGCAATATCTTCCTCTGGGGAGGGGAACCAGATTCCAAGCAGAGCAGGAAATTGGCAAGGTATCAGGATACCAGATTAGTAGGCTGGGATTCAGGTTCCATTGTGAATTATTCTCAGGAACAGGAGTGCCCTGATGCAATTGGGTCAATACCATTTCTCCATAAAATGCTGCATGAGAACAGTGTAGGGAATCCTGAGTCTCTGAGGCTCCAGGAATGCCCAAGATTCATCCATAATGAGCTGGGCATCAGGTGTATGGGGGAACAACTTCAAGCTACACCACTGGATGGAGTTGCAGCACCCGATATTCTTCCTCTACAGAAGAAGAATGATTCAGGAACTGAAGTAGCTCAGGCTGCCAGGTCATTCCTCAATAGTAGGAAGCCAAGAAGCTGAAAAATGTGAGGGGTGGACAGTTTGCACTGGCCTGTTTTTCCTTTGGTTGGTGAAGAAACAGTACTGTTAGCAGAAAGTAGGCCTTGGAAGCAAAGATTGTGGATCTCTAAAGATTTTTGTTGATAGTGAGTTTACTGTCTGGATTTGGACACTTAAAATGTTTGTCAATCAACAGTAATGTGTATTGAACGCTGGAAAGTACTATTTTTTGTTCCTCTCAGATTGAATCTCCCTAAAATCCCTTGCCTATTTGCATTTTACTATCCTAATCCTTTGCAACTAATTAGGTATTGAATTTCTCCTCTTAATCTTTTGCATTTAAATGTACTCATTCTTTTTTTCATAATTTTTCACATGTTTTGAAATGTTCATTATCAAAGTTCCTCCTACTCTGTTCTGGAAATAGTTCATACTCATCTGTTATCCTACTTCTGTGTCTTAAACAGATAACTGAGGTAAACACTTTCCCTAAATCCGCCAAAAACGTATGAAAAGAACAATCGGTATGGATTTCTTCCATCCTCTGTCCAAGAAGTGCTATTTTCAGGGTCAGCCCAGGAGAGGGGTTTTTGTACGTGCCTTTGGTCATGGTCATTGTCTCCGGCTCTGATGCCTATTCCATGCCCACTTAGTTTGTGATAAACTTTTAACAATATAAGCAAAAGTGGCTACTGAATCCACTTCGTTGGGCCGTTCCAAATTCAGCCATACTGCCTGGAGTTCTCCAACCAAAGCAAACAGGATGATGGCATCCTGAGCAAGCCTGTCAGTTCAACAATCTAAGAGGTGAGTTTCTGCTCCCTGGTGAAAATGCATGTGTAAGAATATTCTAAGTAATTTTTAAAAGGTTGATAATAGTTTTCAGGCACTTTACATATATTGTCTCATTATCTTAAGCAATCCTAAATACATGAAGTACATCTATGAGGAAATTTACTGGCCATAAGATTAACTAACAAGCCAATTGTTATATAACTGTTTCATACTGTGTCCACGATTAGAATTCTAAGCTATATGGCTCCAGACCTGGCTCCTAACTCCACACTCTCCTTCATTGCTCGGAGCAATCATCTTTGTCAGCTCCCTCCCAGATAACTCATTATTGATTTGCCAAGGCGGAGACTCTCCAGAAGCCACTGGATAATGACTCATAGTGCTCTCTAGACCTCTTCTTACTAGGAGATCTTTGGGCTGCAACATCTATATGCTGACTCTCTAGGGGGCCCCACCTTGTAACACACCTAGGTCACGGCCTCTACCCCAGTAAGAATGTAGCAAATGCCACTTTTTGAAGAGAAGGATAAAAGACATAACTGATTTTTAAAAACCCTTCATATTGTATTTCTACTAAATTTCTCATTCAGGATAAAGGGAAATGGATACCCTATGAAGTGAGGAAGTTGTTATTTAGTAGACCATGAGAAAAGACATGGGAAATATCACTTCTAATTCTCTTCCATCCTGTGGTATCAGTCTCCATCAAAAGCAGCTCATGCCCTTCCTGTGCTATAAAACCTTCTGTGACATTATCAGACCAAAGTGGTTACTTTAATTTTAAAAGTAATAGGAGGATTACTTACCCCACACAATCAGATACATAATAAATGCTGGGAGGATCAGCAAAGCTTTGCAGGCATATGGAGCTATAGTGTTTTGGTGATATCTGTTTGTTGTAGACTATTGATTTCTACAAAAAAGTACAATTTCTAAAAAGAGAAGAAATATATGAACAAATCCTTTAAAATGAAAATAAGTCCAGTGATGAGAGGCATTTGATGAAGTGAATTTCTCCTTCATCCTGGGCTTTTCTAAGAAATCCAACCTGTTCATATAAAGAATGGTATTGATACAAATATTCACAACATCCAAAATTTTATTTCTCAGATTTATGTATCAATGTGCTAAGTGCTTTACATATATCATCATATTTATTCTAACAATCTCATGAGGCAGATATTATTACATTTCCCATTTTACTTATAAGGAAAACATGGTTCAGAGTAGGTTACTTAATGCCCGATATCACTCTATGAAATAGATCTGCTAGCATTTAAAATCACATCTGCCTGACTCCAGAGACTACTCTATTTTTTTTTTTTGCTGAAGAAGATTCGCCCTGAATGAACATACATGCCAATCTTCCTCTATTTTGTATGTGGGTTGCCACCACAACATGGCCACCCATGAGTGTGTAGGTTTGAGCCCAGGTATGGAACCCAGGCCACCAATGTACAGCATGCCAAACTCAACCACTAGGCCACAGGGCTGGTCCCCAAAGATTACCCTCTTAAAGATGATTTCTGCACTACAAACTGCAAACGATTAAAAGTTGCACTCTCAGCATTGGCTCTCACTGTCACTGAATTTACGCGGACTAACTCCCGCCTACCCCCCTTTCCTTCTATTACTCTTTTTCTAATGTTTCAGTTGGTTTTCCAACATCCCCACGGGTGATGGTTAATGTTGTATGTCAACTTGACTGAGCCACAGGGTGCCCCGATACCTGGTCAAACATTATTCTGGGTGTGTCTGTGAGGGTGTTTTAGGATGAAATTAACATTTAAATCAGCAGACTGTGTAAAGCAGATTCACCTCCCTGGTGAGGCGAATCCAATCCATCCAACTGGATGATGAGGGCATCATCCAATCAGTTGAAAGCCTGAATAAATCAAAGAAAAAGAGGATTCTTTTTGTCTGATTCCATTTGAACTGGAGGTTGGCTTTTTTCCTACCTTTGGACTCCAACTCAAACACTGACTCTTCCTGAGTCTCAAGCCTGCTGGACTTTGGACTGGAACTACACTATCAGCTCCCATGTTTCTCAGACCTTCAAACTGAGAATGGAACTAAATTATTGGCTCTCCTGGGTCTCCAGCTTGTGACTCATCTTGCAACTCTTGAGAGTTGCGAACTTTCATAATCATGTTAGCCAACTCCTTGTAAGAGATCTCGCTATAGACGTAGATATACATCTTGATAAACTATGACACTCAGAAACTCAGAGGCAGTCACAAAACCCAAGACCACAATAACAGAGTAAAGCACCACAGGTAAGGTTAATCCATGGTAAATCTTAAGATTAGTCATCTTCTCTTTGGTGTCTCATCGTTTTATTTCTTAGTGCATTCCATAGTGCCATACAGGAAGATGGTCTTAACACCAAAGAGTTTGGGAGTCCTAGTCTAACATTTCAGGGAATATCTCCAGAACCTATGGATAATACTTGCATCCAGACTTTTATGCTCTAGTTTGTATTTTCTTACCAATTTGTTTAACCTCTTTGAGTTAATGCATTTTATAAATTACTTAAGCTTCCATTAAAGATTCTGCCACGTGACCCCTTGTTTCATACGATACATCCCTTGCTAATTTCTCTATATCCATATTCAGACTCTCAGATCTGCAACTAGAATACCAAGTCCATCTGTCTAAAACAAGGACATAGACCATGTCTTCTTCAAGACTGTCATCATGGTTCTGCCTTTAAAGATTAAGTGTATACCTATGAAACTTCTCAGTTTATCTTTTCATATGACAATAGAAGAAGGAATAGAGGTCATCAGTAGGTATTTAGAAGATCTGAACTCAAAAGACGATATGAAAAAGCTGAAATTGCCTTATTCATTTATTTTCTTGTTTAATGTCTTTTTTATCCTCTAGAAAGAAAGATACATGTGAAAAGGAATATTTTATGTTGTTTTAACAATTTTACCTTCAGAGTTTATAGCAGTGCCTTGCTTGTAAGTTCTCAATATATACTTGTTGAATAATGATTGAATAATTTTATGAATAAACTTTAAATGAATGTTACCAAATCAATCATGCACTTATATTTCTTCTCTTCCTGCAGGAAAAGGATTTTTCAGTCTATTTTCCATCTCCATAGAGCTAGCCATTATTTCAAAAGGAAGAAACCTTCAATTTCTTGCTCCCTTTGGGGTACGGTGCATCATTTCTCTGAGGACATTTTTAGCTCACAACAAAGTTGTCTTTATTCTGCAGTTCCTTAATCCCTTTTTCCTCTGATGCTCCGGGAAACAAAAAAGTAGCTGCTCTCTGGGGGATGGACTAGAGAATTACATTAATTTAGAAAACAAGAGAATTTACCATGAGGTTCTGTAATCCAAATGAAATGTGAAGGTCACTCTGTGCCTCTTCTTAAATTGCATGGTGTGCTTCTCCCATTACTACTTGAATTTCATGGAAATTCTTACTTGTGCTAGTTAGCTATAAATTTGGAAACATAGTCAATCAAATGCTGCTCCAGATAAATCTGAGGCAAAGCTACTGCGTTAGCTCTCATAGAGCACCTTTGCAAACTTGACCTAACCCTTTCAGGGTCTGTTCTGATTAAATTTTAAATCCTTTTATGTCTCTTGTACATTTCTCTTGGTGCATGAGCCTTCAAGGTTAGGAGAACTTGCTCATTTCTTCCAAGATCCTAGTGGACTCATTCCTACCATATGTACACCCTTTAAGGTGCTCAGGGTTTAAGAAGAGAAAAATAAACTATTTTCGTTTCCCATTTAACTATGTGTTTTAAGTAGTTTAAGAATTCACTGTGGGCAGAGGCCATCTATTTCTTGTTTAGCAGTGTATGCTTAGTAAATAGCAGGTACTACTGCTCTATTTATTAGCTAAATTAATTCATTAATGTCTTTAATACTTAGCGTCTTGTGAGACTTCAGAATAGATAAAAATGATTAATTGTTTGTTTAAAAGGAAACAACCCACTCAAACTCGTTACTAATCACATATTTTACTCCAAACTATACCTAAACAACCAAGTTTTAATTTTGTTTATACTATTAAAAATAGATGCATTAGTTGCCTAATGTCATAAGGCAAATTTACCACAGGCACTTCTGTTCACTTCTACTCATAAGAAGAGTGTGGATATGAAAACTATATTTTATCAATGCAGGTATGACACGCTAGAAACTTTCCAATAGCACTTGTTTTTCATTAAACTCAGTTTCACTGAGACAGATTCCATTATATGGGTAACTCCCTGAAGAATATGAAGTCCGGGGCAATTCTCTTCTATATACTTGAGTGCAGTATATGATATTTATATACCCTACATTCCAAGGAGCTCAGAGCACTTGATAAATATCACCCCATTGATTCTATCCACTTTTCTGAACAGTAAATGGCAAGAATTGGTATCATCATTTAGCAGCAAAAAGAAAACTCTAGGAACTAAAATGCAAAATGATTCAAAAGACCAGCAAGAGGGCCAAAAGTATCTCTATCTTTTTAAGTAAAAGTATCTATCAGTTTAAGTAAAAGCTCTTCTGAGTCCCCAAAATTTATCTTGTCTCTCAACTATATTAGTTCTTTAGCTTTAATTATTAAAGAAATAGTTCTTTTCAACTTTTTATTTTTTTAAACTTATATGAACCCTGAGTTTAAGTCATCTTGATTACAAGTCTGGAAAATATACAGTTCTTCACCTTGATAAACAACTTGCCTCTGAAATCCATCTAGCTCTCCCCTTCTTTCCTGTGTTCAGTTAAGAATCACATTGAAGGTACTGGAAGTACCCTGAGAAATCATTGCCCAAACTCTTAATGTTACCAAAAAGAAAAGGAAAATCTAGACTAAGAATAAGATTTCATTGTCATCACATAGTTTCATAAAAGAAGAGGAGATGCTGGAATCGAGGCTTTCTGACTTGAGTCATTTTTGTTATTATTATACAATTATTGAAAAATGGGAAAGGATTATATTTCAAGGCCATTGGTATAAAAATATGGCAGGGGAAAGATATTTCAGACTACTTACTGTATTATGTAGGTTTTATCATTGCTGTTGTGTTCTTTTTTTCCATCATTGCATCCCTATTACGTAGCATAAATCTTGGACGAAGGAATGACATGTTCTTATGGCAATGGATGCTAAGGTATTAATATCTTGATTGCTTCAGACATCCTAAAATGGATACCATAATGCTGTGGTTTAGATTAGCCAGAATCATTTTGGTTCTGATAGAGTTTTGTTGAAATGTGCTCGTTGTCCTTGGACTTCTCAAGATTACATCAAGCATCATGAGTCATTCCATGTAGCAAGTAGGGGAAAACTTAGACACTTTAGCAGGGCAAATAATGCTTCGACTGTCTCATCAACAAGTTTTAACACAGATGAAAGCAGATTACAGAGTACATCTAAATCATCATTTTAAAAAACACAAAGACCCAGATTGGTGAGTGCATTCTTTGTGTTCACCCAGTTGATGAAGTAGGTCCTTTGTTTTTAATCAATTCTTACCTGAGGGACAGATGAGTCACACAACTTTTCCTGTGTATTGTCATTGAAATCAACAGTAATGGTTATTCTTAGGATTGGTTCATCGATCACAAACATTGCCAAATTCCTGATGGTGGATGGGAGCTGAGGCTAAAACAATGATGTGAATCATCTCTACTATCAGATAAGCTTCATGAGAGAAGGCTTTTTTGTTTTTTACTCTCTCCCTTTGTATACTCATTGTTGTATCACCAGCACCTAGAATGAGAATACTCTAGTGAGAACCCTAATGCTGCCTAATCTATTAATATCTCTCATTTCTGCTTTCTCCAAGTACCATCTAAAACACAGTTCCATTAGTTCCCTGTCCTCTGGAGGAATCTCATGACCATAAGCCTCTGCTCTCCTAAAAGGGATAGGAAATCTTAGAGGGCAACATTGTACCATGTAAAGTTTATTGTAACACCTGACTCATAGTATGTTCTTAATAAATGTCATGTGTCATTGTTCCCTCAAATTTTTATTTTCTCTTTCAAACTATTTCACTTCTGCTCTGAGCCAAGTACCTTCCTTTTGGGAGGATCAGGTTCTCTTTATGCTTCTTTGCCAATGCTATCTTCTGACTCTACGGTTCCATTTTCACTGAGAATTTTGGCATCAGGCTCAAGGTGTTCTCCATGTAACTTGTGGCATATTTGTAAGGTTTTAAACAACTACTCGGGTGATACATTGAAGAATCTAGCCTCACATTTTATTGATTTTCTAATCCTGGGATTTTTATTTTCAGATCTTACTCTGTGCATTGTCCTCACCTGGAATTTCTCCATTGCTGAAAAGTTAAATAAGGAAAATATTTCAACATCTGAACACAAATCTCCATCCTGCCAGTACCTCATTTCTTTGTGTTTTTATTCCATTTTTTCTTCAACTTCACTGGGGCTTCTAGTCCTTCTCTCACTTTTTTGTCTCAGAGTTTTGGACCTCTCTGTTTCTTGTTCTTCATTATGTAGCCTAGACACCATGATCCATCATTTTAATCATTCTGACAGAAACATAATTTCCTGATATCCTTGCCTTTTTGTATCCTCTTATTTACTTGTAGGATGAGGGAGGATCTATTCTAAAAATCACAAGACCTGTGAGCTTGGCATTATGGAAAATAATAAAAGAGGCGTGGGTGCTGACGGTGGTAAATCCAATTATGTAACAAGTGTATTTGTGGTCCTATATCCAATTACTTAACAAGTCTAATGGAGTTTGCCTTTACTTTCATTCCTATCCTACTACTTCAAGCTGTTACATCGAGGCTCAACTTTTTGAACAGGCTTCTAGTTTTTATTTCTACTAATGTTCCCTCTTTTCTTCAGACAATTCTCCATAAAATGGTTAAATAATGTCTCTCAAATGCAAATATATCACATCATTTCCATGCTTAAAATATTCAGTAGTTTTCTTTTTGTTAAAGAGTTAATTTTTAACATCCAAATAGAATAAAATGACTCCCCCCACCATGTAGTTAGAATTAATCCTAAATGTTATTTCATGACATGAAATGACACCCTCATCAGCCTATTGCCTCATACTCAACCCACCTACCACCACTCTGCTTTATATATTTCTTCCAGAAATAATAACATCTTTATAGTTCTCTAAAAAAAAATTACATGTCTATGACTGCCTATCTCGTCACAGAATTTTCTCTTTACTTGGAATGCTCTTTCCAATAATGTCTGGTGGATGAATTTTTATCTAATCTCCCCTCAAACACTGTGACTCAGTGAACGCTTTATCTGCCTTTGAGAGCTTAATAATTTGATCATATATGATGAAAATTTTTTAAAATTTATCCCTGTTTATTTAACAAGAATTCATACAAGGCTTATTAGGTACTTTAATTGCTATGCTAGCACACTTTGTATATATATATACACACAACATTCTCGTTTATTAGGACGTGAGATTCTGGAATATACAGTCTATCTCATATTAAAACCTCTGAAATACTAGGACATAGCTCAGTGATTGGCAGCTAAAAGAAGCTCAGAAAATGGTTACTAAATAAACCAAATTAATAAATATTGGCTTAGTCAAATCGGTATATATGACAGGAATTTCATGGACATGGTAATTTCAGGACATTTCTAAACATGATTATAAAGGTTTAATGACACTTTATTATTAAATCTAAACAAAGTCGTAGTTCATAATTCACAGTGAATGAGAAATGCCTTCACGGCGGGTTCCTTCAGCTTTCGCCTCTGAGTGATCTTTTGCTAGTGATGGATTAAGCAAATCTCAAGGAGACTTTGCCCTGGGTCCTAGAGGAATTAGATACTTTTGTACAGTATGTTGTAAGTACCTAACTTCAATTTATGTTTCCAGAATGTATCAGTGTAAAACCTGCTGGTTACTTGCCCTTAGGAAAAGAAAATCTTTCCAACTGGATTGTATTCAAACCTGATAGGTAGAGAAACCAACTTTCTCTTATTACTATTTTTGTCAGTATCAATAGATTTTCTAACTACTGTCGTACATTCTAATTTAAAACCACGAACTTCTACCAAAAACGAGAAGTGAGCATGAAAGGCAAGCTTTAAAGGGAGTGTGCTTTACTATTAAGAGTTACTGCTGAGTTCATAGAAAATGGCAATGCTATTTAAAAGTTCAGGAAGTGTCTGATAAGAAATAAAGAGGTCAGAAAATAGTCTCTCCTGATAAGCCTACATTTTAAATATATTTTATAGGGCAGTAAATTGCCTGGATATTTAAAAAATAACCAAAATGCATTACTCAAAATTTGTTTCCCATAATTGTTGGCTTTGCAAAATTCAACTGATGGACTTCCCTCTAAAAGTCTTTAAAATAAAAAAAGACAGAAAGAAATAAAAATAATGATCTTCCCTCCAGCTCTCTCTCCGTGTGTGTGTGTGTGTGATATTAATATCTGTTAAAAATAGACTGGAATAGAACGTACATTGCAAAATGCAGATTGTTCTAGTTTTGCCTTTGCTTCAGTTTGGTAAAAGTTGAGGGAAAATACATGGGTATTTTTACATGCTTTCAAGGGAGATATGAATTTTGGATTTCATAATTCATGTCTCTTCCTATTTCAGAGTGACACATCTGGGAAGAAACCCAAGATGTCTGCCTAAGAGCTGATGGCTTGGATCATCTTTTGTGAAGGATAAAACTGAGGTTCCTGTATGTTCAGGAAAAGGTTTCCATTATGTGTATAAGTTGCATGCTCCTATATTTTCATTCATTATTTCAAAACACATTTACCGAGTCATTTCCATGGGTCATAGACTGTTGAAACAAGTATAGATCAAAATCAGGCCCATCTGGAAGATCCTTTCAGTTTATTGGGGGAAAGAGCAGATATTCTATAAGTCGTGCAGTGAAGGTTAGAACGGGTTCATATGGAAGCACAGAAAAATGGTATTTAATGATTCTCTCTGGTACTGCTATCAGGGGAAGAAGACCAGGAAAGTGATGTTTGATGCTTGATCCAAGCTACTCAAGCATGGGAAGGCCACTGTGGAAAGAGTCATTAGGTAAAGAATGCTATCGTGTGGTAAGCACTGTGGATAGTGGTGCATGAAGCAGTCCTGAGGCAGGGGTCTATCGTGGGAGGCTCTGTATGCCATGGCAATTTATTTAAGAGTATCCTACAAATGAGACAGCCATGTAAGTCTAAATAGCAAGGAATGACATGGTCAAGTGTATATTTTGGTAATACTGTTCAGGTAGCTATATGGAGATTGAATTTAACAGAGAATACCAAAGTCAGGGAAGCTAATTTGGAAGCTATTGCACTGGTTCTGGCAGGAGAATATGAAGACCTGGATTATTGAGGGTATATGCTGAGTGAAATAAGTCAGAGGGAGAAAGTCAAATACCATATGATCTCACTCATAAGTAGAAGATAAAAACTACAAAAAAAAAACCCACATAGCATTGGAGATTGGACTGGTGGTTACCACCGGGGAAGGGGGGAGGGGGGAGGGCAAAAGGTGTGATTAGGCTCACATGTGAGGGGATGCACTATAATTAGTGTTCGGGTGGTGAACATGATGTAATGTATACAGAATTTGAAATATGATGTACATGCGAAAAAAATAAAAATTAAAAAATAATAAATAAATAAAATTTAAAAAAGTGAAAGTGACAATGAAGAAGAACGGGTTGATTTATCATGCATGTAGAAATTATTGTACACAGAACTGGGGTGTGTGCATGAGGTGGGTGCAGAGGAAGGAGTTGCAGATCTATTTTCCTGGTTTGTGGCTTTAGTGAGTGGGTAGAAGATGAGGCAGCAGACATAATAGGAACAGTGAGTTTAAGTGAATTATAAATGCTTTCAGTATTTTCATTTGCCGGACTGCAGAACCGTTATTCAGGTTAGAGTGCTGTCTTTTGGTACTTGTTTAGAAAGTATTAGTTTATTCATTAAAACCACAGAGGTGTTTACAATGTCCCAGAAAATGATTTAGAGCACTCTTTATTAATTTTTGATTGTTGTTACAGGTAACAGCTTTGAGGATCAGAGTAAATAAATGTATGATTCCTACCTCCAAAATTTTGCATTCAATGTCAGGGATTCACGTTCCTCTAAGAGTATTCATTGGCCCTAGGTTGAGAACCACTTGAGTTACATGAAGGGAGAGGAGGAATAGTAATAAAACCCATAGGGAAACTACTCAGTAAAGCATTAAAAAACACTGACTTCACTGTTGACTGAAAATGTTTTCTGTGACGAGCTCATCTGTGTTGGAAATTTCTCTTAAAAAATAAGTCAACCATTGACCCCATGGATTAGTGAATTAATTCATATATCATGATCTTAGAAGGTAGAAAATATAATTTTAAGGATAAAACAGTGAAAAATTATTTTCTAAGTCAGGAGACTATTTTTATTTTGTCATGAATTATGAAATCTTCAAGAAAACTCATAATGTTATCCACCTGAAGCCCAAACTACATTTTTTAATGCTTATATAAATAATACTGCTCTTTGATGCTTAATTAATACTTTTGTCATGACCACCACCAGCAAACTCCCTGCCTATATAAAACAATTTATTCCCTAGCTAAAAACAGTTTTGGCTAAATTGAAATCGACAGACAATGAACCAGTGATTGGGAAAGTTTATTGAAGACCATGCCCTAATTTGTTAATGAAGGTATATATCATGCTCTAGGTGGCCCATTATTTGTGAAGCCAGGAATGGTTCCAATTTCTATAGCAGGATTTATAATTTAGTCAGTAAAGTGAAGACACATGCTTTGACAGGTGCCATCATAATAGTGGGGAATCCTGAGTGATAGAACTGATCCAGAATGAATGTCTACCAATTTCTAAGTCTCCTAGCCTCACCACTCACTCCTTATGAAATTCTCATTTTCTTAATTAAAATAAAATTTTCCATATACCACGTGTCAGACACAACACTAAGCAAGGAAGAAGGTAGGAAAGCTGGGAATATCAACCTTCAGGTGATATTCTCCCTATCATTTGACTCATTTAAAACTGAGAGTTGTCTCTTTCCATAGCTACATTATCACTGTTCTCTGGCTTTGAGATTCTGACATTTTAGTAAACCTTTCATTTTTTTGTACAATATTTATGCCAACTAAAATGCAAAGATCAGTGACAGAAAATCTTTTTAACAGTGAAAAAAAGAACTTTGAATTTTATTTATTAAAAGTCCTGAAGAAGGCAATTTTTGAGATAGTTCAGGAGGTCAAAGTTATCATCAGTCTGCAGTTTTCTCACATTACTCTTCCATTATATTCATTAGCTTGACTTCCTTTCCTTAATAGTGTTGTCGCGGGATCATAAGATGGCCACACCAGACCAGGACTGATGATGACTTTCAAAGGCAAGAGACACCAGCACTTGCATTAATGTCTAGATATCCACCATGTGAATAAAAAAATAACACTTTAAACTAATTTTAATTACATTTAAGTGGAATATATATACTTACAACTGCTTATAGCATTTAGTGTTCTGATAAATTTTAAGCTGATTCAAATATCCAATCATGTAATATACTATGCACTGAAGCAATGATTTATAGATCTGCATAATTTCTTTAAAACATTGGGGAACATTTATTGAGCAGATTGAGAACATTCACATATATAGGCAAGAAACCCTTACTTTTCAAAGAGAGAAAACCAAACAGTATATGCTAATTCCAGCTAAGAAACAGTAGAACATATAACTTCATAGTACATAATTATTCTGAAAATAAAGTTGTGTGAAAATAAAGATTGCTCTGCTTTCGCTTCCATGGAGTTTAGTGAAAATATTTATGCTTAATCTACCATTTGTGTCCAAGGACTTTTATGTATATTTTGCATTATGTTCAGCCATAATATTATATCACTTTATCATTACTGTGAATATTCATTTATTGTCTATGATAAAAACCAGTAATTTCTGAATGAAAAATTTAATGCATACTACTAAGCATCCAATTACTGTTAAATTTTAGCAAGTCCATGTAAAGTTGGTTACTGTAAACTTTGATCATGACTCTCATTGTTGCAAAAGAAACAATAAACTTCGCCAATTTCTATGCAGATGGGAGGAGCCAATATAAATTTTGTACTGCTGAGGAATGATCCAGTGTAGTATGTCTAACCCAGAAGAGAGCAATGATCATGAATTTAAGCTCTGGAATCAAATAGCTCTGAGCTATACTTGCTATTTTAACTTGGGGAAGTTAATTTTTCTGTGCCATAGCTTTCTCTTCAGATAATTGGGAGTAAACTCTCACTACTCTTTTTGTAAGAATTGAAGGAGCTAATAAACATGAGATGCTTACAACAGAACCTGGAACTGGGTAGGCCCATGGTAACTCTTAGCCATTGCTCATTAGCTCACTAACCATATCCTTTTGTCACCGGTGTTAAGAAGACCTTGGACAGGTGTCAAGAGGGTGGTGTAGGTGGACTCTGAACTCACTTCCTCCCATGGACACAACCAATATACAACTATTCTTGGAACAATTACCCCTGAGAGAGAACTGAAAATTGGATAAAAAGAACCCCCACAACAAGGGACAGTCCTGACTGAGGTGGAAGAGGCAGAAATTCCTTTCTGGAAAGAAAAAAAGCCACCTTCACAAGCAGCACTTCATGGTCAGCTGAAAGTAATCCTAAGATATGCAGCCTTCTTGGAGGAGCGGGGGACTTGAGCAGCTAAGTGTAAATGCTATAAACATCCTTTGGACTCAGCACAACTGAGAAAAATCTCATAATATCTGGCTTTTCTGTCTACTAACAACAGTGGGGAATATCTCCAGAAAAGTTATTGGACATAAGGGAAAAAAGCCAGCTCTTAAAGGGCCCACACACAAATTTACTCATTTCAGAAAGCAGCCTAAAATTACCAGAAAGACAGATGTACAGTCCTTTGCTGAAAAGACTCACCTGATAGGCTCTGGGTGCATCTTGTTGAGAGGTGAGACCTCTCCAGGGACTGAGACATTGGCAGCAGACATTATTGTGACCTCACACAAGCATACTGACACAGATGCTGGCAGATGCTATTGGTATTCTTCCCCGGGCCTGTTAGCCCAAGGTCAGTGCCACCCACCAGGACGATGTAATACAGCTCAGCCAGGCAGGCAGGCTGCCCTAGGAACTGGTCCCACCCAATGGCAAGCCATCAGGCAACTTGAGGGCCTTCATAGGCTGGGTGCCTGGATCCTCTGCAGCTGGATGAGTGGGCCCACCTCTGTGGGACAGGGTGTGCATAAGGAGCAGGTGGAGTGTATGTCACATTAGAGTTTGTGGGGCTCTGCAGTGGGGTGACTGGGTCCGCTTCATGGGGTAGGGACATACATGTAGGGCAGGACTATGTTGACAGTGTGTGGCCCTTTGGGCAGTGGGACTTGTCAGCTGCAGAAGACTTGTGCTTCTCAAACAGCCACATAGGGGATTGGGCCCACCTTCCAAGGCCTGAAACAATTGGGTACTCCCATGCTTAAGGCAAGTCTCACACAGCTGCAATCCTGAGAATCCTGACAAGAACCTCAAAGGCCAGAGGCCTACAGCAATTTTAAGCCCCTGAGCCTTGCAACAAGCCACATTGGGAGCCTAGTTATTTAACAGAAAAACTGCAACAGGAATGGGCTATTGGCCCTTGCAGCCAACTGTGCTGGGGCACCCCATGCCCCATAAAGTGACTGAAGGGTCCATAGCAACCACATACAGCTGAGCATTACAACCAGCTAACCAGGGGGATAACCTAGCCTAATTGGGCACCTACAGCAAGGGTAACCATGCCACAACAGGAGACACATAGCATACATGGGCATCGCTCCTGGAACATTTGGAACTGGTGGTGAAAGGGAAGCACACTCTGGGCCTCATAAGGCTTCTCTTACATAAGGCCACCTCTCCAGGATCAGAAGACTAGCTGACCCACCTAATGCATAGATATAAGCACAGAGAAAGAAGCAAAGTGAGGAGGCAAAGGAATACATTCAAAGTAAGGGAATAGGACAAAATCTCAGAAAAAGAACTCAATAAAATGGAAATAAACAATCTGCCAGACAAAGAGTTCCAAAAAACATCATAAGAATGCTCACTGATCTTGGGAGCAGAAGGGATGAACTCAGTGAGAACAGGAACAAAGAATTGGAAAATATAAAAAAGAACAAATCAGAAATGAAGAATACAATAATGGGAATGAAAAATTCACTAGAGGGACTCAATAGCAGAATAGATGATATAGAAAAATGGACCAGCTAACCAGAAGGAAGACTAGAGGAAACCACCCAAGCTGAATAGATAAAAGAAAAAAGAACTAATAAGAATGAGAACAGGCCAAGGGACCTCCAGGACAACATCAAGCACACTAACATCCATACCTTAGGTGTCCCAGAAGGAGAAGGGAGAGACACAGGGGCAGAGAATCTATTTGAAGAAAGAATAGCTGAAAATTTTCCTAACCTAAGGAAGGAAACAGACATCCAAGTACAGGAAGCACTGAGAGCACCAAACAAGATAAACCCAAAGAGACCGACACCAAGACACATTATAATTAAAATGTCAAAATTAAAGATAAAGAAAGAATCCTAAAAGCTGCAAGAGAAAGACAACAAGTTACATACAAAGGAAACCCCATAAGGCGATCAGCTGACTTCTCAGCAGAAATCTTACAGGCTAGAAGGGAGTGGAAAAATACATTTAAAGTGCTGGAAAGAAAAAACCTACAGCCAAGAATACTCTACCCAGAAAGGTTATCATTCAGAATGGAAGGAGAGATAAAGAGTTTCCCAAAAGAGAAAAAATTAAAGGAGTTTATCACCAAGAAACCAGTTTTATAAGAAATGCTAAAGAGACATATTTAAGTGGAAAAGAGAAGACCACAAATAGGAATAAGAAAATTATCACAAAAAAAGGCTATAAAATCACTGGTAAAGGTAAAAATACAGTACAGGTAGCAGATCAACCACCTATGACAATAGTATGAAAGTTAAAAGACAAAAGTACTAAAATTACCTATTTCCATGATAAGAGGGTAATGGATACACACACACACACACACAAAAGAGGTTAGATCTGATACCAAAAACATAAAGTGTGGGAGCAAGGGTGTAAAAGAGTAGAGCTTTCTGAAAGAGGTCAAACTAAAGAGACCATCAACTTAATATAGGTTCCTGGATAAGTAAGTTGTTATATATGAACCTCATGGTAATCACAAGCCAGAAACCTTTAATAAATACATAAAGAATTAAGAGAAAGGAAGCCAAACATAATACTAAAGACAGCCATCAAACCAGGAGGGAAGAGAAAAAGAGAAGAAGAAAGGAACAGAGAAGAACTACTAAAAAAAACAGAAAAAAAGTAACAAAATGGCAATAAGTACTTATCAGTAGCTACTTTAAATGTCAATGGACCGAATGCTCTAATCAAAAGGCATAGGGTGACTGACTCGACACAGAAAACAAGACCCATAATTTGCTGCATACAAGCGACACACTTTAGACCTAAAGACACTCACAAACTGAAAGTGAGGGGATGGCAAAAGACACTCCATGCAAATAGCAATGAAAACAAAGCTAGGGTAGCAATACTAACATCAGACAAAATAGACTTAGAAACTAAAACTGTAACAAAAGACAAAGAAGGGCAATACACAATGATAAAGTTAACAATCTGAGAGGATAAAACACTTGTAAATACGTATGCACCCAATAGAGTACCACCTAAATATATAAAGCAATTACTAACAGACATAAAAGGAGGAATAGAGAGTAACACAATAATAGCAGGGGGATTTAGTACTCCACTTACACCAATGGATAGATCATCTAAACAGAAGATCAATAAGGAAACATTGGCCTCAAATGACACATAAGACCAGATGGACTTAATAGATATACATGGAACATTCCATGCAAAAACTGCAGAATATGCATTCTTTTCAAATGCACATGGAACATTCTTTAGGACTGATCACATATTAGGCCACAAAACAAGTCTCAATAAATTTAGGAAGACTGAAGTAATACCAAGCACCTTCTCTGACCACAATGGTATGAAACTAGGAACCAACTACAGGAAGAAAATCAGAAAAGCCACAAATATGTGGAGATTAAACAAAATGCCACCAAACAATGATTGGGTCAATGAAGAAATCAAAAGAGAAATCAAAAAATACCTGGAGACAAATAAAAATGAAAATATAACAAGCCAAAATTTATGGGATACAGCAAAAGTGCTTTTAAGAGGGAAGTTTATAGGAATATAGGCCTACCTCAACAAACAAAAATCTCAAATAAACAATCTAACAGTGAACCTAAAGGAACTGGAAAAAGAAGAACAAACAAAGCTCAAAATCAGTAGAAGGAAGGAAGTAATAAAAATCAGAGCAGAAATAAATGAAATTTATTTATTTATTTCTTAAAAAATAGAAAAAAGCCAATGAAACCAAGAGCTGATTCTTTGAGAAGATAAATAAAATTGACAGACTTTTAGCTAGACTCACCAAGAAAAAAAGAGAGAAGGCTCACATCAACAAAATCAGAAATGACAGAGGAGAAATTACAACAGGCACCTCAGAAATATGAAAGATTATAACAGAATGCTGTGAAAAGCTATATTTCAGCAAACTGGATAATCTGGAAGAAATTGATAAATTCTTAGAATCATGCAGCCTTCCCAAACTGAATCAAGAAGAAATAGAGAATTTGAATAGACCAATCACCAGTAAGGAGATCAAAACGGTAATCAAAAATCTCCCAAAAAATAAGAGTCAAGGATGAGATGGCTTTGCTGGTGAATTCTACCAAACATTCAAAGAAGACTGAATACCCATCATTCTCAAACTCGTCCAGAAAATTGAAGAGGATGGGAAGCTGCCTAACTCATTCTATGAAGCCAACATTACCCTAATACCAAAACCAGACAAGGACAACACAAAAAAAAGAAAATTAAAGGCCAATATCACTGATGAATATTAATGCAAAAATCCTCAACAAAATGCTAGCAAATCAAATACAACATTACATTAAAAAGATCACACAGCATGATCAATAGGATTTATTCCAGGGATGCAGGCATGGTTCAACATCTGCAAATCAATCAACGTGAGACACCACATTGACAAAATGAAGAATAAAAATCACATATCATCTCAATGCAGAGAAAACATTTGACAAAATACAGCATCCATTTATGATAAAGACTGAATAAAATGGTCATAGAAGGAGAGTACCTCAACATAATAAAGGCCATATATGACAAACCCACAGCTAATATAATTCTCAATGGAGAAAAACTAAAAACTATCTTTCTAAGAACAGGAACAAGATAAGGATGGCCACTTTCACTATTCTTATTTAACATAGTATTGAAAGTCCTGGCCAGAGCAATCAGGCAAGAAAAAGAAATAAAAGGGATCCAAATTGGAAAGGAAGAAGTAAAACTGTCAGTATTTGCAGGTGATATGATTTTATATATAGAAAACCCTAAAGAATCCACCAAAACACTTTTAGAAATAATACATGAATACGGTAAAGTTGCAGGACACAAAATCAACATTCAAAAATCAGTTGCATTTCTATACTCTAACAATGAACTTGCAGAAAGAAAAATTAAGAATACAATCCCATTTACAGTTACAAAAAAAGAATAAAAAACATAGGAATAAACTTAACCAAAGAGATGAAAGATCTGTACACTGAAAACTAAAAAACATTGTTGAAAGAAATTGAAGAATCAAAGAAATTGAAAGATATTCTATGCTCTTGGATTAGAAGAATTAATAGTTAAAATGTCCTTACATCCTAAAGCAATCTAGATTCAATGCAATCCCTACCAAAGTTCCAACAACATCTTTCACAGAAATAGAACATAGAAACCTAAAATTTATATGGAACAACATAAGACCCTGAATAGCTACAGGAACCCTGAGAAAAAAGAACAAAGCTGGAGGTTGCACACTCCTTGTTTTCAAAATATACTACAAAGCTATAATAAACAAAACAGCATGGTACTGGCACAAAAACAGACACATAGATGTATGGAACAGAATAGAGGGTCCAGAAATAAATCCACAAATCTATGGGCAGCTAATTTTTGACAAGAGAG